ATATATGAGAATTTGTATGTTTGTTATGACCAAAAGCCAATGCTACTGTCTGTAGGAAAATTGTAAAATAGTCACTTATTAACTTAAATAATATTTCATACTTTATTAAAAACTTATTCAAAAAAGCATTATATTGGGAAATGCATAGTATAATTCACAAATCAGAAAACTCATTAATAATAGAAGTAGTTGAATTTGTTTCATAACACTGTTAATATTATTAAATTGTAAATACTATAAGTAGTGATGCTTTAAATTGTTTAATGCTTTAATATAATCATAATAAATAAAAACCAAGTGCACATTGACTATGTATTATGTTAAACATGTACATATATTATATGTATGTGTTAATTCTTCCAATTATAAAACATGATAAATCATATTACCCCATTTTATGCATCTATAACTCCAGGTTCAGAGACACCAAATAACTTTAATATTTAACATTATTCATTTTGATAAATCATATTTGAACTCAAGTGTCTTATTCTAGAGCCCATTGACCACTTTAATACGTTTTGAATATTGTTGGAATGTTGGATCTAAAATTATGGAAATATATGAGCTAGCATAAGAATACTTAGTGAGGGCCTCCCTGGTGGCGCAAGGGGTTAAGCACAGCACCATGAAGCTAACCACAGCCTCTGCAGCACGAGTTCAATCCCCAGTTGGCCAGGGCGTTACCCACATGGCACAGCAGATCTCTCCTGTCTTGCCTGCTGCTCCCCTCAGCAGTGTATTTCAGTCAGTCTGCCTGTTCTGTTCCCCACTCTTTCTCTGGTGAATCCTTTCATCCCCACACCTCTGGCCTGTACTCCAAACATTGTGTGCATAAATAAATCTTTAGAAAAAGGAATCAACTTAGTGAGCAGAGAATAATGAATTTATCATGATATGGAAGGATTATAACAGGTGAGGACTGGAAGAGAAAGTAAGAAGTCTGGTGCTTTTGTGTGGTGAGTCTTGAAGCTATGGGCAGAGCACAGTGCAGGTTAAAGGAAAGTGAGGGTGGAGAACTGATCACATATCCAGGAGACTGCTTCAGCAAATACATCTCAAGACCCAGTGGGCCTCTATGGAGCTTATGCTGTATCCTACTGTTATAAATTCCCCTAGAAAGAACATTTCTGGTGCTTGATTAGAGCTCTGAGGGATCTAAATTCAGGGCTATAGGAGATTTAATCATACTTTGATCAGGTGCCTGCACATCTGGAAATTTGGGACTAAGAGTTCTGCAGGACCTGTTATAATGCCTCTTGGCTTTGAGGCCCATTCTACCAGCAATACTTACGGCCTGTGTCAGGATATGCATATGCACTCTCATATCTTACATGAAGTACTTTGAAGGATATTGAAAAAACATGACAATAACAAGTAAAGTCTTTGTACCAGCTGCAATTTCATAGGCTTTCCTTGCCCTGCCAATCTGGATATAATGTTTTTAATCAATTTTCCAGAAATCCTCTAAACAAATCTACCATTATTGTCAGACTATTGCCTTGCTCTCAAATTGCCTCTTCAGTTCAATTTTGCCTTGTGTCACATCTGTCTGGGCTCTTTCTTTCTTTGTTCTCTTTTTCAGCCTATAATCACACTACTTTGTCAAGGTACTGAAGATGACACACTTTCCCCATGACCTCTGACAACTCTATCTTAAGCCTTTGTGGTATTTCTCATTCTTTATAGTAAATAATAGGTGTGACACATTTGACATATGACACAGAGACAAAGAATCTATTCTCACTGTTTGCTAAGTTTCATTCAGCATACATCTTTTCTCCCCAACTACACTGCTACAACAAGTGCTTTGAGAAGATAAGATTCTCAGCTTTAAATGGGATATACTATACATGTGTATAGTGAGTTCTATATTAAACAATTACTGGATTATTTTTTATATACCAAAAGTTTCTTGCTTTCTATATTCTATAATTAGATGATTCCTTATTCAATAAAGTTTGGGACTACAAAAATACTACCTTAATATAAAAATTAAATAAAAATCCCTTGGCATTTGAATCCGGACACTGGATAATTCATACTAAAATATCATTAGAACAAAACACAAAGTCAGTAATTCAAATTCTATACAATAATTAACCATACTTTTTTTGGTTTAAGGCATGTCAATATTTTTGTGACAATTAAAATTAAATTTTACAAGTGGAGCATGAGTCATTTAGTAAAACTGATGTATTATATAATTAGCATTAGGTAGCAACAGGAGGCCATTATGATGCATCAAAATTCCATTCTATGAACATTATAACTTCACTGAAACTTGAAAAATCAGTTGGACGCACCTGCTTTGTCTGTTTTCCTTTTTCTTTGTACTTTCAAACTCATTTAGCTTTTAGGAAAACATGTTATTGCCAAAAGTCTAGGGCAATTTTTGTACTATCAAATTGATGGTGAGGTCTATATTTCAATTTTTAATGCTGGAATAATTTATAGAGACTATTGCTCATAATACCACAAATTCCTTAAAGGAAAAGACACATAATAACAAGGAAAATTGACAAAAAATGAGAAAGGAAAAATAAAAATTAATTATCCATGTTAACATACACTTTTGTGTTATTAGTTGCATATTCCCTATGGGCTTAATCTCTCAAATACTAAATATATTAAGAGAAATGGGAAATATAACTTTCTGAAATTATTTCAATACCTTTTTATATCAATAGTCAATAAATATGACTAAATGATCTTTTTAGTTTTTGTCAATGTGACATGTTAGAGTGACAACTCTAGTCTAATTATTATTATGATTAGACAACTCAATACTTATATGTCTGGGCTATTATACTTGCGTTTGAGTTCAGCTTCCTGAATTTAGAATCAAACAACAATGCAATACTGCATACCATCCTAGAATTTCACCTTCTATGTCAAAAAAAAAGAAGAGTTTATAATGTGGCATGCCTTTTTACTGCAATTATGACATCTTACATGCTCTCATTTTTCTATTTTCTTTTTCACAAGCCATCATCTCTCCTGAGACAGCTTCCAACTCACTGCAAATGATTCCTGATCAACATTTATCCTTTGTGAGTCAATCTCAGCATGTGGCATGGCTCCTTTTCTAAATTTTCTGCACATGGTTCTATTATTATCACCTTGTTTGGTGTATAAGAAACTGTTATTGTCCTATGCATATGCCATACAGCTAACCTATCTCTGGCTAGCCTCCATCTGTCAGTATCTAGAACCTAACAAAATGCCCCTGTGATGGAAATGCAGAGGGATCTGTCTGTATTTAACGGATGTAGGAAATACTGAAAATGTGTCTTCCATCACGGGTTGGTGACCAAAGACACTCAGGAGTCAGCGTATAAATTTTCCAGTTTCATCATTTCTAATGATCAATAATTGTGAACATTTTTTTGGGGTATCATTTCTCAGAATTTGTCCCTGGGATTAAGTGCCTATATTCCTTAGGATAGCTGGTTTTGTATCAATGTCTTTATTGGCTTCCTTCTCTGAATTACATCTTTATTTAGTATTAGTTTTAATGGTACTTCACAAAAAATTTTTATATATGAATCTTTATCACTTTTTTTTTTCATTGTTGAATCCACAGTAAAACTGTTGACACCAAAGTTATTGTGTAGTTTGCAGCTAAGAAGGCAGCAGGACCCCGGGCAAGCTGTAATAGCACAATTGCTGTGGCTCTCACCTGAGTGAATTGGGGTGGCACCCAAGACACAGGGTATGCATGTCTCATGCAATTTCTCCAGGATTTAAGAGAGATACTGAAAATAAGAATGATGACTATGATGCTGACTGCTGTATGTATTATAAGTTCTCTGTGGAGGGTTCAAACTAGTTGATCCAAATCTCAGGACATAGTATAAAGATCACACTATAATAATCACATCCTCTTTTGCAGCCATAAAAAAAATATATACAAGAAAACAGACCCATTGCTTGATGGGAAAAAGTAGAAGGATTGTAGGGAAGGCTTGCTTCAATGCATTATCAAACCTCCTATTTGAAATAAGGCCTTAACAGGGAAGAAATAGGATCCTGAAACCTGAACTTGAAATGCCTGGGTAATTGTTAGAGAAGAAATCTATTTTGTTTTATTTTTTAATTATTATTATGCTTTACATCATTGCTCATTTAAAAAAAAAAAAAAAACATTTGCTTCTCCCCACCCTCTCAGGTGTAGTCCCCACAGAGTTTCCTTCACCAATGCATCTGTGCACCATCACCTCAGTATCCTGTGCTCCTCCCTCCCCCCTCTGATCCCTCTCCCTCCTCTCCCCTGCAGGATGTCTCTGGTTTATAATTGTCTGTTTTTGCTTTGTTGTGTTTTGTACTGTTATTATTTTTTTACACTGATGTCTTATTTGGTTCACCTACATTCCTGCTATAAGTGAAACCATCTGATATTTTTTCTTTTTCCTTTTGGCTTATTTCACTGAGCATAATTCCTTCTAGCTCCATCCATGTTGCTGCAAATGGCATGAGTTTATCTTTTTTTTTTTTAATCTAGAGAACATAGATCTCTATATGAGGCAGATGCTTCAAAATCGATTTTTCCTCAAGATTTACCTCCATCTTATGATTTCTAAGCCATGAGTTTAATCAAGACCAAGCATGGTCCAACTGAGTACCTTTTATCTCTGCTGTTAAATAAAAGGGTTTACTCATCAAAAGAAATACAGAAATTTGCTGTGCTTTGACAAATGCCTAGCAATGAATGTTGCCTATGTTGGACAAGAGATGTGTTTGAAACATAGGTTCATAGTAGACACTAAAGATAGTCTTATATAACGAAGTGCATTTATATATAAATATTCGTATTTTGGGGTGTGTATTTCCAAACTCATATCCAAAGGTACAACTAATTATATATTACTCTAAAAATACTTTATTATAATCCCAGAAAATGAAAAGATAAAGAAAAGACAACTGTTAGTATAGTGATTACTTCATGCTACATAATTCTATATTTACACAAACACACACACACACACAACTCCACTTACCCTTACTTGACCAACAAAGGCATTGGCTTCTTCTTCCACCACAGAGAGATTTCTAGGCAGATAGGGATCGAACACTGGAGCGTTGTCATTGACATCTGTTACCACCACATTTACTGTGGCAGTTGAGGTCTTAAAGAAAACAGGATTAAATGTGAGAAAAGTACTTTTCATTTTTATGTCAGTTAAATGGCCATGCTAGCATTTGTGTACCTGGGAAGTATTTTGTATTTCTCACTACTATTTCTAATCTTTATTTTTCTGAAAAAATAAATAAATAAAAATAAGGCTTAAAACTTTTACACTCCTAAAAAAATCAATAGATGGAAAAAACAAAACACGATATTAAAGGGAAAATATATATTTTTTAAAATGTCAAGTATTTCCTGGAGTTTACATTTAGAAAGTGATTTTACCTTTATCTTATTCACATGTTATGGGTGGAAGGCTTTTGTTTATACACACATGCAACCCATTTTCTTTAAAATGTAACATTTATATTTTTACACTACTTAAATTTTTCAATTTTCAAAAAAAAAAAACTAGCATGCTATAAAATAGCATGGTAAACCAAATGGGCATTTCAGGTAAACAAATGTTATGAGAAAGTGCTTGAGGACCATATGCTACTCTGTAAATGTTATTTTATGATTATATTGCCTAAAGAAATGGTAATCAGACAAACCTACCAGTACTATGTGCTACCTGATTAAAAGGTAAATTACTGGCCTGGTGCAACCAGATAATATCATGTATGTTAATACCTTTCATAATCAATGTGATTATGTGATTAAGTGACATAATATGTGACTTAAGCTGGAAACCACTTTCTTTAATTAAAGCCTGAGTACTTGCATGCCCATCCCCCAGCTTAGTCACAGTGTGGGACTAGTCACTGAAAGGATGCTCATAAAAACTCCATTATGCCATAATGTTCAATACTTAATAACTTATAAACAAAAAACAGGAAGAAAAGTCAGGGTCAAAAAGTACCCAACTTTTGTTTTAAAAAATTATAGACACAAATTGTACTAATGTGTAAATGATTTGGAGAAAAACCCAAAAAGCTGGCATAAAGAAATGACTAAAAGGGAGTGAATCTGAAGAGATTTTGGTTATAGTCATGGAGCTTCTCAGTCAAAAAAACCCAGAATTTCCTAGCTAACAAGGAGGAGTGAGCTGGTAATACTCCTTGCTCTCAGCTGGGATCACCCAAGTTCTAACTCTGAGTAACTGTGGGTGCAGTCTTCACCAGATCTTCCTCAGATTAAAAAAAACAAACAACAAACTGATATTCAATCTGCCACCATTTTAATAAAAGCAAGAGTAAATCCCCCTCTGAGCAATATAACTTTATCCCAATTCCCTATGATTGTTCATATATAGCATCCATCAATCATTAAAAAGTTATCATACAAAGCAGGGAAGTCTTAGGTATTGGTAGTGGTTTATTCCCTTTTTTATTTACTGGCTCTATCAGAGGGTTTATTCTGTGAAAATTCATAAAACTATTCAACATTATCTGTACATATTTCTATATTTAAAAGTTCAATAAAATCATTTAAGGACATGCACAACTATGAACAGAAGAGCATTCATAGCAAAAACCTGCAGACAACCCACATGTCCATCAATAGTATATGGTCATGAAGATTGTGTAATGCATAAGATGAAAAATATGTAGTGCTAAGAATGAATTTCACATGGCTGAAATTCATGAACATGAGGTTGAGTGAAAGAAGTCAGACACAAAAAAAGTACATATTATATCATTCCATTATATGCATTTCAAAGGCAGGCACAATCTCTCCATGGTGAGAGAAGTAAAATAGAGGTCCCAGCTGCAAAGACAGTGGAGTAAGGTCTAGCATGGTCTAAATGCTGGGCTTCTGAAGTGCTAAGTAATTTGTTTCTTGCTCAAAGTGAGGATTTTATATATACAGATTCATATATGTGTGTGTGTGTGTCTCTGTGCGTGTTTCACTATGTTAAAAATTCATTAAAATTTACAGATATGGCTAGTGTACTGTCCTGTGTGCATATCCCCATGAGATCAATAAATTTAAAAGATGCATACACACAAATAATCGTGTATAGATGTATGTGAATATGTATAAATACAAATGTTATCTGACTAAATGAAATACAGGTAACTTTTTTTCTCTCTTGGCCATTTTTATATATTTTCCAATTTTTTTCCCCAGGAAGACTACATTGCTTGTATGACTATAAACAGTTTAAAAAATGTTATTTATTTAAAAGTTGTTCTAAGTTGAAATCAGTAAAACAATGTGTTTTTCCTGTAGTAGTTAGTTCTCAATTTACCTGAGGGTGAGCAAGGCACTAAAATTGACAGCCTGAAGTCAAAATCAAAGAGTAACCACACTAGTTTGCTGTCTTTCCAAAAACTACTTGATTTTCCTTATGCCAACTTCTCTATTCTCTCTCAAACCACTGTCTGTTTTTCACTTTTCAAAATATTTTTCTCTGTTTATAAACATAAAAATATATATGGCATTATAATTTATATGCACTAATATGAATTAGCAGAATATTAAAGAATATCTCACATTCATTTTAAAAGTTAAACTTCTGGGAAACTTATTTGAGAAACACTAAAATACTAGATTCTTTTTCCCAACAACCAAGAAATTCAAATCTGACTTTCAAAGCTAATGAACAAGTGACTAATTCTTTTTTAAAAATTACATTGTCAACAGTTATTATGAAAGGAGATTCAGAAAATGTGTCAATATTTTTAAAATACCATATATACATACATATATACACATGTGTATGTATATATTACCATCTGTACTGCCTTCAAATTCTCATTAAACTAAGTATATTAAAATTCCAAGTTATCTTGAAATTCAAAGTTATTTGAATTTCATAAATTACTCCTCTAGTACACATTTTTCTGTTTGCTAATATTTACCAAATTTTGATTAAATGGTTAAATGTTCAACCTCTATACTTAGTTGTTTGTTCATACTGTCATATTTAAAAGAATTTTAGGGAATAATATTAGTTCAAGGAAAAGCAAAGATGCTTAGACTTATTGCCAATCTAAGGTTGTAAAACATTATAAGTATTCACTATAAAATTCATAACCCAGTGATTCAGGCTTTAATTCAAGAACATTTTAGAGAAAATAAAATCCATGACAGAACCAAATTATTTTTATCAAATCTTTGAGTAGGAAAACAATATTGCTGAACACATGGAATCTATTAAGAAATGTCACATGATAGAATAACTTATCTAAAATAAAAATGCTTGCCAGTTGGAAATGGCAACAGATAAATCTGTTTTAAAATAACAAATGAAACACAATTCCAATCACTATTTGCATATTTACATATTCTGCTGTAATTTTCGTATTTTATTTATTTTTTGTTGTCTATTGGTTGATGGACACCACCACACAACCTACAAATTATCTTTCAGCTCAATGTGGCTACTTATAGATAACAAGATGTATGGAAAAAATCCACAAGCTGCGTTTTCTGAAAAGTTTTGGTTTACTATAGAAAGGATGCAGACTACTCTGGCTTTCATCTTACCCTCTGCTTTTCTGCAATGGATATCTCATGCATGGACCTGTTGTGGGCACCTTGAGAACATTAGGTAACAAGGGTGAGTGTAAAAGTAAACAAACTAAAAATATCTCAGAGCAGAATTGGAGAGGAGGTATTTCTGATGGTATTGCTGAACCCAATCATAAGCTCTTTTCAGTCTCTATCTTGATTTCTTTCAATTTGAAACAAACTTTATTTCTGTTGTCTTGGACTTCTTTCTCATTGCTAAATACCTAAGCACTAATACTGCCAAGATTGTGGAAGGTATTCAGGGCATGATACCCCAAATTATTCCTCTTCAGCATACTGACAATTTTTTAGTAAGAACCACTTGAAAAAACAACAAATACAAGAAAAATACTGTAGTCAGTTTTCTTTTACCTATATGCAGGAAATTAATTTCCAACATGAAAGACAGCATCACTATATACAGTACTACAGGAATAATAATAATCTTATCACCAAGGACAAAAAGTTGAGATAAGAGAATTCTGAAAAAAAAAAAAAAAAAAAACAAAAAAAAAACTGTAAAATAATTTTTATTGTCCTTTAGTCCCTACATATAGTTCAGACAATTTCCTTGTTTTTCAATATAATATAAAAACATTAGTTGTTCAGAATAACATAAAAGCAGCTAGTTTTTGTTATTTCTTTGAGCATTATTTCTTAATGGGATACTCTGTTATGCAAAACTTATATTATGCTTTCTCCTGTTAATCTTTATCAGTTTAATATTCAGACCCAGCCAGCAACACTAAGAGGAGTGAATTTAACTTTTACTTCCCCTACATTGTTAATCAAATAATGTTTGTAAGTATAAAAATTGTGCAGATTTTCAAATAAAATGCCTTTTTCGTTCAGATTAATTGGCCTTAATTTATCAGAGAAGCAAGGAATGTTACAAGGAAACTTTCTAAAAAGAGAAAACAGAGTGTTGTTCCTTTAAAAGAAACTGAATCATTTTGGAGCTCTCCAATATGTTACTGATTTTTTTTAATGAGGTAAAGTTTAACTGTTTAAAAAGCTAAAATTTTAAAAGCTCATTTCAGCTAAAATGTGAAAATATTGGATGAATGGTAGTGATTTTTAAGAAATCTGCATCACAAATTAGTAATTCATTTCAAATAGAATTATCCAACCCTAGAAAATAAAATTTGTCTTTATTTGTAATACTTGAAATCAGAATATATATAATGATGTACTCATTTATATGAGATATTTAACTTTTACATATATAAGATTGACTTATATATAATAGTTTTTCATCTAGTATTAATGAAATGTATTTAATAAAGGAAAAATGTAAGAACATCAGACAAAATTTCCTCAATATTATCTATAAAACATAGCAGTGACTAATAGAATATGAGTACTCTCCAAACTCACTTTGGCATGATAGTAGAGGTAGATTTTTGTATTAAAATATTTTAATTATATTTAATTCACACAAACTGCTGCAATAATATTGATTTAAGAAAAGTCCATCTACTGGGGTCTGTGAAACCATGATTACTAAGGTTAAAAGGTTAAGATTACTATAACTCTATAAAAAATTTATATTTACGTGTTTCAGTAAGAAATGTGCTATCAAAATGTCAGAAATTGTTGTTTTATAATAACTTTCTTAATCAGGAATCTACTATACATGCTCAAACATAAGTACATTCTTAAAATTATATCAGTAATCTTTTTTTTTCTCTCTCCCCGTCCATCTTGGCGGCTGTTCTTGGTTGGGGGCCATCCCGCACCTAAGGCAGGAAGATGGTGGCCGCAAAGAAGACAAAAAAGTCGCTGGAGTCGATCAACTCTACGCTCCAACTTGTTATGAAAAGTGGAAAGTACGTGCTGGGGTACAAGCAGACTCTGAAAATGATCAGACAAGGCAAAGCTAAACTGGTCATCCTCGCCAACAACTGCCCAGCCTTGAGGAAATCTGAAATAGAGTACTACTCCATGTTGGCCAAAACTGGTGTCCATCACTACAGTGGTAATAATATTGAATTGGGCACAGCGTGTGGAAAATACTACAGAGTATGCACACTGGCTATCATTGACCCAGGTGATTCTGATATCATTAGAAGCATGCCAGAACAGACTGGTGAAAAGTAAATCATGATAAATTTTTCTTTAATAAAACTGGCCAGAGCTTGTTTAAAAAAAAATATATATATATATATATATCAGTAATTAAATTAACTAAACAAAATTGTTTGAAATAGAAATGTTTCATTTCTACTGATATGATTAATACAAATTTTTAAAATAAAACCAATTTAAAAGAATCAGAATTTTAAAGCTAAATGAGACCTTATAGATAATAAGAAAGAGAAAACAAGAAAAGCTCTTTGACCTGATCAAAACAAAACGAATACACAAACAACTGAAAAATGCTTTTAGGAAACTTAACCAGTAATTTTAATCTGGAATTTATTTTCAGTTTTTCAAGTGAGACTATGCTAGACATCTTAATGCATTATTTCTTTTCCATCTGTTCTCTTGTTTTTTAGACATTTTATTTTTAAGGCCAGACTTAGAGCTGTGCCAATATTACTCCCATTAATATATGATTTATAATCTGACACATCTTAAAAATATATATTTTGTTTTATTTTCCTAATGTAAAACCTGTCTTCTCATTATTAATTTTATTTTACTTGTTATACCTTTTACTCTATGTAATTACTCTACCTTAGAATTTTCCCAGAGATTTTTTTTTTTTAGCCAGCTTACTCATAAAACTTAATATAAGTCAAGTTCTTCAATTATTTTCTTCTTGAGACTCTGGCTTCATTATTTATATCTAACACAGGCACACTATATTAACCAAGGACATTGCATATATAAACATGTGCCTTAGTTTTATGTTTCCACATAGTCTAATATGTGAGTACTCTCTGTTGCCCACTATTTACTAAAAGTGATCTGTATGTTGTAATTTCTATATAAAGCTGTAGAATGTCTGAAAAACATCAAATAAGTTGTTATGGGAAGACAATTATTACTAAATTTAATTTATTATTCCTATATATTATTCTCATTCATAATTAGGATGATCAAGCTGCTTTGTATCAAAATCAAACTGTTTATATATTTTACCACGGTAAAATTTTCTCAGAAATCTGTAAATAGGTGTGAAGAGAGAATAAATATGCCACCAACAAATCTGTCATAAAAATCGAAGAAGTCATTTCAAGTAAATTGGAGATATATTGCTATTTGAATTAGCTGAATCTTGCTTACCTATACTTGATTTGGAATTATTTCTAGAAGACAGTGCTACATTGGCCCATAAGCAGTTGACTAATGATTAAATGACAGATAGAAATAGTCTAATGACATGTTATCCAAAAGCGAAATATAACTATGGTTAAAAATCAGAATGGTAGTGGTTATAAGTAGGATAATTTGAAGAATACGATAAAACGATTTCAAAGCACTCCAGAATGACTAAACAAATTATTTTTTAAAAGTGATTTTAAGATACAAAGGGGTTAAAATTCATCTTCTAGAATCACACGCCCATTTAAACAACTTCAATCATCAAATATTAGTTAGGGTTCTGAGTGTTGCTTACAAATTATCTGTGGAGTCTGGTTTCTTAAATGCTCAAGGTATTAGCCACAAAATCTCCTGCCCACCCATACATCTCCCAGAGAAGCAGAATTGACAATAAAGGAAACAGGTTTCAACATAGTAAAATTTCCAGAAAGGCATTTCAGAGTATTATGCACAATGGCATGCCTCTTACACTAAGATAGATTTTATTTTCCCCATTAATTGGGTAAGAGTTCAATCAGAAGTATCTATTCTTTCAAGCCCAAAGTTGCAACACAATAGCAGAATCGAAGAATAGATTAGTGTATCAAAAGACTGCAATGGAAAAAAGAACACTTCACTGAGTAATTTTAAGAAGTTGCTACAGAAGAAAAACATTAATTTATGATTTTAATAAATTATTAAAAAAATTAGCTTATAAGACCTCCCCCTTGGTTTACTGAAGATTATTTACTTAACATACACATTGAAGCTTATTTTGTAAAGCTATCATAACCATGATATAAAACCTGACAAGAACAGTGCAAAATACTTACAAGTCAATAGACACAAATGTAAAAATCTTGAATATCAGCATATCAAATTCAAAAATATGTGAACAAATATATCATGATCAAGTTGATTGTATCTTAAGAGCTCAAAGTTAATTCAACTTTAGAAACTAATTTATGTAAGCCACCATTAATAAGAACACTTTGCCAGGGATAGTACTCACCCCATCTGGCCTGCCATCTGAAGCCGTGACGATCAGAATGTATCGATCAGTGCTTTCTCTATCCAGAGATTTCCCTAAGGTTAGAATCCCAGTACTAGCAATAGAGAAGAAGAAAAACACATAAGACACAAAAAGACAGTCTTCCGGGCTTCCCTGGTGGCGCAGCAGTTGAGCGCAGGGTTGCGAGGCTTGCCCGCAGCCTCTGCGGCGTTGGTTCGATCCCCGGCTGCTCCCCAGCCCTGGAGGAGGGTCCCATATGGCGCGCAGATCTCTCCTGCCGCCCGCTGCTCCCCTCAGCAGTGTACCTCGGTCCTTCTGCCTGCTCTGCTCCCCGCTCTGGCTCTGGTGAATTCTCTCACCCTCCCGCACTTCTGACTGTACCCAGTGCATGTATAAACAAACAAACAAACAAATAAATAAACAAATAAAACATGCCTCTATAAAAAAAAATAAAATTAAAAAAAAAAAAAGACAGTCTTCCTACCATCATGGACTAATTTTAAAAACTTTGTTCCCCTTTTAAGCAAACATAGCCTAAGTATTTAAGATGTATAAGTCTAGGATTCATGTAGAAATTTGTAAAAAGACTTTTAAGATGTTAACTTCCTAGAAATATTGAAAAATTGCAAAATTGTTTAGTTGATTCTCTAGTTGCCAAGAAAAAAAAAAATCAATATCAAACAAACTACACTTAATTCATTCTAGGAAGATAAGTATATAATTTGTAATTATTTTAATGGTAAAAAGGCCCTATTATTCTTAGTGCTTTGGATTAAATAATGATTTCCTATAAGTAATTTATATCACCAATCCTATTCATTGCTATTCCTATATATATATATATATATATGAATGTACATATATATCAAAATATACACACCTTTCATCAAATGCCATCTATGATAAAATATTGTGTTCAAACTTTAGCACTAATTTAAAAATAATTGAAGCTCATTGTAAGTCAGAAAATAGAATAGAATACTGAAATTTTAGAGTTACCTTTAATATTTTATTCTAATGACCATATTTAAATATATTATAATTATTTTCAAGAGATATTAGGATGTATATTTCACATTTTTAAGAGAACAATTTTTTTTTAAAGATTTATTTATTTATTTATTTATTTATTTGTTTATTTATTTATTTATACAAGCACTGGGTACAGTCAGAAGCACGGGAGGGTGAGAGAATTCACCAGAGCCAGAGCGGTGAGCAGAGCAGGCAGAAGGACCGAAGTACACGGCTGAGGGGAGCAGCGGGAGGCAGGAGAGGTCTGCGCGCCATGTGGGACCCTCCTCTGGTGGCGGGGGAGCAGCCGGGGATAGAACCTGCTCTGTAGAGGTTGCGGGCAGCTTCGTAACCCGACGCTCAACCGCTGCGCCACCGGGGAGGCCCTTAAGAGAACAATTTTATCAGCATTTACTCTCTTATTTCATAATTCAAAAGAACAAATTTTGTCAATACACTAACAAATTTACCATTTTGAACCATGTACATTTCCTTTTGAAATGTATATGATTCTTAATTTAACTTATGTAGAGTAGGAACAGAACAAGCTTTTGGGTAAATTAGATTATTTTTAAAATTCCTCCTAACCTTTTCATTATTCAGAATATATGTTTACAAATAATTAAATTTTTATTCCCCAATATTATTTGTTGTAGAATAATTTGGTCACATATGCTGTCTGAAACAAGATCTATCTTTGTGTCTTAGATTTTACAATCTGACATTATACCATGACATTTTATGTAAGATCTAAGAAGACATTTACTGTAGAGGAGAGGATTTCTTAATATAATAAAACATTAAAATATTGACAAAGTATAAAATCGTAAGTTGTTTCTGACTGATGAATGGCTTTCACTTCAGTCCAAGTGCTTTTATTGTTGTAGTGGAATTTCAGCAATTCACACCACATATGGTAGCTTGATATATAGAGTTAAACACAATGAATCAAAATCAGAGTCACAGTTACTCTATTTGCTTTATTTCTCTGTTGTGTTGATATGGACTAAAAAACAAAGTACTAGACATATGGTAAGACTATGAAGAACTGAATTTGCTTCTTGTACATTTTGAAATATATTTGTAAAAAAAGTAAAAACCTATTCCCAAAGTAGTTCATAACAATCAGCTTTGGATCAACTTCCAACACTACAGATGGTTCAAATAATCACATTTTAAAATGATTTTCAAAAAAGGAAGACAATTTTTGCTTCTGAGATTTATACACAAGAAAGTTAAGAACTATAAAATCTGAAAATCTAGTCATAAATATGATGAAAAGAAGAATAAAATTCTTTATCATTTTTATTTCCCCCCCCCTCACTGTATGGTTCAAGATTCTGTAGTCTTTCTTCTATATTAAATTAGAAAACTACCATAAAATTGTTTAGTTTTCCCATTTCAAGCTAGGTTATATATAAATAGCTAATTTTTCTTGGTATGTGATTGAGAGTCAGATAGTCCTTTGTGCCACTTTACTTTGGGATTTACGGTCATGTAAATGCTCCACAACTTTGTTACTAAGTTGGATCTTTTTTTCCTACTAATTTGTTTGATATTAATTTATTCATTCTTCCAGTCTCATACGAAAGCATAGGGGTAGAAAACTATCCCTCTGTGCTTCAATAATGCAAAAGAATAAAAATGGACTATTCCATATCATATACTAAAATTAATTAAAAATGAATTAACAGTCTAAACATAACTGAAATCAAAACTCACAGACATAAAGTTAAATTTTCATGGCCTGTATTTGACAATAGATTATTAGATACAGCACCAACATCATGAGCAGAGAAAAAAAGGAGATATATTGGACTTTGTCAAAATTATATTTTTGGTGCATCAAAGGATACTATCAAATAGAGTGAAAAATAACTCAAAATATGGGTAAAATTTTTCAAATCATATAGTTGATAAGTATTTGATCCCCAAAACATTTAAAATATTCTTTCAAATTAACAACCAGAAACAATCAATTTAAATAAAAAAATAAACAAAATACTTTAATAGATATTTCTCTAAAGAAGATATACAATGGTAAACAAGAAGATGAGAAAATTATCAACATCTTTAGTTACCAGGGAATTATAAATCAAACCAAAAGTAAGACACTACCTTATTGAGCTAGGATGGCTACAATTAAAATAAAGCATGTGGGAAAATAATAAAGGCTGATGAAGATGTAGAGAAACTGTTACCCTTCTATACTGCTGTTAAAAATGTGAAATGATTCAATCACCATGAAAAATAGTTTGACAGTTCCTCAAATGTTAAACACATATTACACTATGACCCAACAATTCCAATTCTGGGTATATTTTAAAAGAATTGAAAACATGCTAAAGTGCAAAGTGTAAAGACATTCATTGTAGAGTGCTCATAACAGCCAAAATATAGAAAACCAGTTCAAATGTTCATTAATTTACAAAGGGAAAAACTGTCATATAGACATAAAGTTGAATATTTTGCAATTAAAATAAGAAATGACATACTGATACATGTGTCATAATGAGTGACTTTGAAATATTAGGCTGAGAAAAGTCAGAGACAAAAGATAGGTCACATATTCTATGACTCCTTAATATGAGATACACACAGAGATAGAACACAAATTGGTGTTTACCAGGGATTGAGGGGAAGGAGGGAGTAGTCGCTAAATGGGTTTGGATTTCCTTTTGGAGAGATGAAGATCTGTTGGAACTAGATAGAGTTGGTAGTTGTGTTATAGAGCAGCCCTGATATTGAATGTGTTCCTGGCTGTGGGTCCTCACCCGCGCGCTTAAAAGGGTCTTATTAATACTCCACTACAGGCACACACAAAAGGTTAATAAAAGGTTTATTTACAAGGGAAAGGGAATTAAGGAAATGTACAACTCAGGGAGAAAATAGGGAAATAAAGTCTTTAATGAGTCCTACCCGATCTGCCGACCTGGAAACCCAAAGTCACTCTCAGAGCTGGCTGGATGCTGTGAGCTGGCGGAAAGCCAAAATGGGGGATCCCCAAAGCCCACTTGTCTGCCTTTATATTAACCTGGCTGCTTAACCCCACCCTCAGGTCCCAGCCACCTTCCCTTTGGTGGTGATGGGATTTGGAATTCCCAGTGTCTTTGGCTTTGGCCTGGGGTGGGGGTGGAGTCCACAAAGCCTGTATGGAATTAGCTTTAGGATATCCTGTTCCCCCTAACAGTTGCACAACATTGAAAATCTACTAAATGCCACTGATTATTCATTTTTATATTTATGTGAAAAATTTTCTTTTTTATTGTATAATTTTTATCGAAGTAACATTGGTTTATAATACTATATATGATTTAGGGGTATAGGTTCATACTTCAGATGCATGTTATCATACTACACCTATCAACAGAGCACACATATTTCTCCACCACAGTTTGGTGGGTTCTGCCCCCATTTTTCCCCACCTATGGTCACATCAATTATACAGTAAGATTTCTAGATTTTATATTGGTTTAGTTTTGTCTGTCACTTTGTTTTGTTTCTCTCTATCCCTTATGAGTGAAATCATTGATATGTGTTTTTCTTTCTGACTTAATTTTTTCTTTTGAAAGCTATAAAAGATTTATTTGAGCAACATAAGTAACATTGACTGACCTCACGTTTATATTTATAACCTTACATCCAATAATACATATTCATCTGAAACATTGATAAGATTTATTTATTTACTTATTGAGGTACATTGGTTTACGATGTTGTATGTGATTTAGAGGAGCAGGCTCTCCCATCACCTCCTCAGATGTTTTTACCACACTGCATACATGACCAAAACACCCACAGTCCTCCACCATAATGTGTTATGCTCCCTGCCCCCTTGGTAGCCTCACTTTTACAGCCAGATTTCTAGGATTTGTAATAGGTTTGGCTTTATCTGACCCTTTGTATTATTTCTCTATATTCCACATATATGTGACGCCACCCCTCATTGTCTTTTTCCTTTTGTATTCTCATATTTAACTTAATCCCTTGCTATTAACAATGTTATATGCTATCTAATCTTCAATATAATCATAAAGTTCGAACTCAAGTGAAAATCATAATCAGGCTTTAAATAGTATATCTAAATTAACAGATACCTACAAAGAAATAAAAAGGTCAATAGGGTAATAAAAATTCAAATAAAATTCTAATAAGAGGCAGACAAGACTCTTTGAGACTGTCATTTCATACTTAGCCTTAATGTGTTACATCACATATCCTATACTACAGTAATGACAATATATAAGTTTTCAATGTGTAGTTGCAAAATCGTTTCACACCATCAGCAATTTTAGAATATTTTATCACTATAGCCATTATCAGTCACTCCATATTCTCTTTCTTCCCCAGCCTTAGGAAACTACTGGGCTACCTTTTGCCTCTATTTATTTTCCTATTCTGGACATTTCATACAAATGGAATCGTGTCATTTTGTGAATGACTTTTGTGAATGGCTTAATAATATTTTCAAGATTCATTTACATTGCAGCATGTGTCAATACTTCATTCTATTTTATTTTTTTTTTATTTTTTTTAAAGATTTATTTATTTATTTATACAAGCACTGGGTACAGTCAGAAGCGCGGGAGGGTGAGAGAATTCACCAGAGCTAGAGCAGGGAACAGAACAGGCAGACCGATGAAGTACACTGCTGAGGGGAGCAACGGGCAGCAGGAGAGGTCTGCACACCATGTGGGAACCTCACCCGGTGGCCAGGGATCGAACTGGCACTGCAGAGGCTGTGGGCAGCTTCAAAACCCAGTGCTCAACCACTGCGCCACCGGGGAGGCCCTTCATTCTCTTTTAAATGAATGATATTCCAATGTATGGATATACATTTTGCTAATCCATTCATCTGTAGCTAGACATGTGGGTTGTTTTCAAATTTTTCTATTGTAAATAATGTTATGAATATTTCTGTGCAACTATTTATGTGCATGCATGTTTTCATTTCTTTTAAGTAGAAATTATTACCATATAGCCCTATCACATAGTAATTCTTCATTTAGCATTTAGAGGAAATGACAAATTGTTAGCCTGAATACACATTGTATATTCCCATCAGAAATATTTGAGGATTCTAATATTTTTATCCTCACCAATACTTACTATTTCTTTATAGCCATTCTAAGTATGTATGAAGTGATATCTCTTTGTGATGCTAATTTGCATATCCCTAGTGAACAACAGTCAAGAGCAAGTTTCCATGAGCTTTTTGACTGCTCATATATCTTTTTCAGACAAATGTGTATTCAATGCTTCCTCCATTTTTAACTACTGTGATGGTTCACAGGTGATACGGTGGTGGGAAAATATGGGGAATACCCCTGTGTGGAGAAACCAATTACTGCATAAAAATGAACAATGATGCAAAATAAATTTTCATTTTTGCTTGGATTATTTTTTTCTGACTTAGAATAATTCTTCATATTTTCTTGATATAGGTCCTTTAATATATTTTTTGTAGGTTGTACCATTTTCTCTAATTAGTCCTTTCAAATACACCTTTTTTTTCAAATTTGATGAAATGTAAGTTAATTTTCTTAATAATTCCTGTGTTCTTTATGAAAGAAACATCATCTAATTGCAAACATTAAGGTTTACCTCTATATTTTCCTCTATGTGTTACATAGTTTTATCTCTTATGTTGAAGTCTATGATCAAGTTTTAATTAATTTTTGTGAACTGTATGAAGAGTCATCTTCATTCTTTGCATGCTGTCCCAGCTTCATTTGTTGAAAAGATTATACTTTTGTGATTGTATTACCTTTGTCTTTTTACTGGGGAGGTGAGGAAGTACAATTGACCATAAATGTTAGGGGTTATTTTTTGACTCTTAAGTTTATCCTAATTATACATACACCTATTTTTTTTTAAAGATATATTTATTTATTTATTTGTTTGTTTATACATACAAGCACTGGGTACAGTCAGAAGCTCTCGGGAGGGTGAGAGAATTCACCAGAGCCAGAGCGGGGAGCAGGGCAGGCAGAAGGACCGAAGCACACTGCTGAGGGGAGCAGCGGGCGGCAGGAGAGAGGTCTGCGCGCCATGTGGGACCCTCCTCCGGAGGCCGGGGAGCAGCCGGGGATCGAACCGGTGCCGCAGAGGCTGCGGGCTGCTTCGCAACCCAGCGCTCAACCGCTGCGCCACCGGGGAGGCCCGATACATCTATTTTTTAAATCTCAACTTTGATTTATTTTTATTTCATTTTAAAATTGTACTTATTTCTTTATTTACTTATTTAATTGAGGTAGCCAGTGCCATACAATTTTGACTGAAACATCCCTTTTACAAAGTATTGTTAAGGATGATTGTGAAGTACAGTATTATTAAGGATGATTGTGAAGTACAGTTAATTTATGGTTTACATGTATGTAAGGGGACAATTTTAAGCGTTATCTTCCCACATTTCAAAATAGAAGTTTATTCATCTGTATAATCTTAAAAGCCTAGGAAATACTGCTTCTTGCCTTACTAACTCATGGTTATCACCTTCTGTAAATGCAGGTGTTTCTCACAAGACCCTGTTACCCCCTTAACTTGGCATTATGTGCCACATATTCCTGAGACTAAAATAGTACCTGGCTCAATTGTCAATTCCTCACTTTATAATCATGGGGTAAGTTTAGGTTTCTATTCTTTCTGGAGACAAAACCACTCACTAGTACATAGGAAACATCAGCGAGGTGGCAAGCACAGCACTTTAGCCATGACAGCAGAACAGATGCTTTGCTATTGCAAGAGGACCAAGTGATCTGTCTGGAAATGCCAATTTCTTCTTTAACCTCCATTCTCAGTTTTCTCAAGAGTTATATTTACCATTATCTTTAATATGCTCATGGAGTGACTAGAATGATGCTGATATAGACTTCAAAGAGGCTAATCCTGGTCATGCAATTTTTTTTTGTTAGCTGTTTTAAAATATACCTGCATCAATCAGAAATTGAAGAACGGACTTTGGGGTACCTTGAATGTGTTTTAATTATGCTTTTCCTTACAAAATTCCCTGTGAATAAATGATTTAGTGCCAAGTTATTCTTTGTAGAAATATCCTTGTTATTATGACTAGCTGACAACTTTAAAGGGATCTAATTAATCCCAGGTTATGCCTGCAAATGAAATGTTTCCACCTCAGTAGCTATCACCTAGTAGAAATGTTTTAAATAAATAAATGGTCTCCAGGGTAAGTTTGCTAGAGTCAGTGTTACATGCCCCCTCCCAGTTATCATTAACATTTATGAAAAAAAAGTAAAAGGAAAATATAAAATAGCTGAAAGCTTCTGATTAGAAGTCTGTTCTCTTGTTACCAGTACATTGTTTAACATTTTTAAAAGGAAAAATGTAAGTTTAGAAATCATTTCTAACTTACGTTTCTGAAAGATTAAAAACTCGCTGAGGATCTCCATTCTCAATGGCATATGTTATTGGGTCTCCCTCCCGATCAGTTGCCTTCAGAGAAAAAACATAATTCAATTATTAGGCAATTGATGGTTCCTATTAAGTGCATTGTAATACAGGAACTTGAAACTAATTTCAAAACTATCCATGATGCGCTTAAAGGATAAAAATCAAAGCATGGGATATGGCAATAATACAGAATTTTATACATATATATATATGATAGCAGCATTTCTGTCATTTAATCACATTTTAAATCAGTCCTAATGAATATGAATGATATCTGGATGGATGGATATATAATATTTGATAGGGAAATAGTATAATGATTCTCCTAAGGTTTACATGTTTAATTTATATAATTCTATCACTACAATTTATACAAATGTGTTAAACCCTATAGAAATGTTTACAATGTTGATAAATTAATTAATGCACTTTTCTTTTTTAAATTAGACTATATCAAGTTAGTAAAGCTTTATGGGTAAGAATCCTGAATCTAGAGCCAGAGTACATGATTTCAAAATTGGGTTCCATTTACTAACTGTGTGATTATGTCTCAATTTCTTCATATTTAAAATGAAAACTATACAAATACAACTTTAATAGATTTCAGGAGGTTTAATTGAAATAGTTAATGGCTAGGCACACAAACATCATCCACATTGTAAGTTTCCAATAAATATTAAATGACTTTGTCTTCATTCAAGTCAAACAGGATAAAAAGCTATATTTTCTAATTTTGAGTTCTGGGTTACTCTTATACACATTAAAAATACATACACTCTACATATGTCACTGAAGTCTCTAATTTGACAATCTGAAATATCCAATAATTTCCATTTCTAACATGCTTGAAAAGACATTGATGAAGAAAGAAATATGGATGATATCTAAGGAATGTGAGAGGGATCTGCCTAAGTATGACCCTGATGAGGAGGGAAATACAGGAGAAAAAACTAAAGGGACCTCTGAACTACCAGAGATAACCCCCTCTCTGACTATCAGGCATTGCCCTGGAGGCAGCAGAACCTTGGAAAAGGGTACTTGTGTGTGGTCCTTTCAATGACTGAGCAGTAACTGTAAGAGCCAAAAAAGCCAGTATGAAATTCCATGTGGAGACTAGCAGGGTGCACTGTTTATTAGAAGTTCAGGAGACTGACAAGGTTCCATATTCCTGGGCACAGAATAGCCTTATCAGCTACCACATTGGACAGATGATCAGAAGCCTCTCTAAAACTTTATCAATCCAGAGTCCTGAGACAGCTGAATACAAACAGAGACTATTTACTAAGTGTGAGATTCTGTGGGAGCAGCTTTGTAGCATTATTTAGTCTCTGCCTCCCAACAGTGGCTCTTTCAGACTACATTTCTTTACATACTTCCAAGCATCATATCCAACTTTCAATTCTCATCACCAATGACACATATTTATATTGGATTTCCCCAAAGGTTTCTCCTTGACCCTCCCTCACTTAGTCACCTTATCCAATTGCATAATTTAAAATATTATCTATCAGCTGAAGACTCTCATATCTATAAATCTGTTCTTTCTTCCGAATTTCAGGCCTATGTCCAATTGTCTACTTGAATCTCTAGTTTGATGAATATGCATCTCCAAATTAAAATGTTAAAACCTCCAAAAATCTTGATCTCTTTCCTGCTCTACACCCCTAAAGAAGACAACAACATGCAGTTTTTAGTCTTCATTATCTCAGTAATTAGCAGAAACTAAATCCTCACTTGCTCAGGCCTCATATTATGATATTAGCTGCTCATTCTCATTCCCTAATGCAATCCATTAGCAAATCACACTGGATCTATTTCTAAAATATTTGCAGTATTTGAACTCCTTCACTACTACCATTTTTTCTGGATTATGATAATAACCATATTACTAGTGGTACTGCTTTCTCCCTTGCACTGTCACTGTGAACGTTAATTAAGCAAACAAAATGACCATTTTGTCCAAGTAAATATTTTACATACACACACATATGCACGCACACTGAAATAAACTAAAATAGTAAAATACAATGAATTAATAACCTACCAGGATTATTACTTTGAAACATTTAATTCAAAGCTAAGTCTAACATTTTTAATCACATTAATTTAATTTTTTATAATGAAAGTCTAAGAACAGAGTATAAGATATGAACAGATTAAAAAAAAAAACATTGAATGGGATTGATAATAAATGTTTGATATTTTCCCAGTGTTTTTAGTTTCTTGCCAGATAGTATTACCAAAAAAATAATAATAATATATAAATAATGATACAGACAAGTTTTTGAAGAAATAAAGAATTGTTGTATCTAGAAACTGTATTTATCATGAAAAGGCTCACACTGAATGCTTTCTGTTGTTTTTCACTTTTAGAAAGTAATTTTTACCTGTCATGTTGTTATAGATATTATCAATTTCTTTTTGTTTTTCATTGGTATATAACTGCTGTTGTCTGGGACACAATTCATTGTTATATGTTTTCATAAAAGTCAGAAGAAATATATTCTAAAATAAGAAAACTTTGTGTTGTAGGATCAGTCTTTCCAAAATGGTCAAATAGGTATTTCTCAATATGTCAAGACAAGGCAACCTCCATTGAGTGTCACCTTGGTTTAGGGAACCAAGGTCAAGTGAGCACCTTCTGGGTCCTGGACATCTGTTATCTTTACTTAAAGAATGTGATTATTTTAAATGAATTGCACTGAAGTCCATATAGATTGAGAAGATTGCTCAGGTCTTGATCTCAGACCAGATCTCTGACCCTTTCCCAAAGACAGCAGTAATCACTGCTGTCCACTTTCATAGCCAACAAGTATATAGTTTGGAGGGGTATTGTCCAGGCATAGGTTTATCACTGAACATGTTCTCCCTATGTGAAAAATTTATCATTTTATTTTCAGAGTAAAATAGGAAGTCGAGCCCTACTTGAAACAGTCCCCTCTCCCTTTGATGCCACAGGTCCTCTAACATGAGTTGTATATTCCAGCTTCAACTCATTTTATTTTAGAATTTACAATCATGCAAATTCTCCTTATTTATGTTACTCAATTGATTCTCCTTTGCTAACCCAACTGATGCAGTCTTTTTTTTTTTTTTCTTTTAAGGTTTATTTATTTATTTATACAAGCACTGGGTATAGTCAGAAGCACAGGAGGGTGACAGAATTCACCAGAGCCAGAGCAGGGAACAGAACAGGCAGACTGACAAAATACACTGCTGAGGGGAGCAGCGGGCATGGCAGGAGAGGCCTGCACGCCATGTGGGACCCTCACAGGTGGCCAAATCGGCACTGCAGAGGCTGCAGGCAGCTTCACAGTCCAGCGCTCAACTGCTGCGCCATTGGGGGAGGCCTTGATGCAGTCTTAATTGCTTACCCAAACCAAGAAGAACCCATAAATTGAGAAATTATTCTCTACACACAGTTTCAAATTTTTAAGTCAAAATTAATGGTGACTCTCCTAATGTATCAGATCTACTGTAATATTTTATATGTTTTTATATTTATATAGAACTGTATACACATATATAGTGTGATGAGAGTACTATGTATACTGTATCATTTTATTTATATAGTTTGTTATGTTACTAAGAAAAAGGAATTTCTAGAGAATTTTCAAAATTTTTTCAGCCAAATTAAATATATTCAGTCTCTGAAGTACCTTGATGTATTTCTCTAGTTTTGTTTGACCACTTAAATGCCTGAGGCTTTTAAGGACTCTAAAAGCCAATAATTTGCCTACTTTATTCTTCTGTGAGTTTGAGCCATTTTGGAAACTTTGAAGACTCAAGATTTAGAAGAAAATCCTCATTTGATTGTTTTCTTCCTTTTATCTTCTCAGCCAATCCTGTGTTGTTGCTTCAGGGTATATGGCAAATAGTGTTGTAATTATGGAGGATTTATTACTTTTCAGACAATGAAGCAAGGGGAAATAGTGTTATCTGGATCAGAGTTCTGAAATCTATCCATTACATGTGTTAACACTTGTATGAACACCATATATCTCTATTTGCCATTGTCTAAAGGGTGAGAAATAATGCGTAAAAAGAATAATTGGAAATCAGAATACAATGATTCTTACAGTATTAAAAGTTGATCATGTGCATATGTGTCCCAAACTATATTTTTATAAACATTTTTAAACAGTATTTTTTAATACAGGACTAGTCAGACTTCTCTAAATGATAAAATCTATTTATAGTATTGTATAATGAATCCTTAGTTATGAATTTATTGACTATTAGATCAGGAACAATATAAAATTTTTATATGCCTTATCTCATTTAAGCCACAATGTAATATTATAGATAAATAGAAAATGCAAGAAACTTTAATTACTCTTTTTTTCACCATTCTAATTAGATTTCTCTATAACTTACTTAATTAGAAGATATACTTCTTATCTAGAGATAATAGTAACTGATTCATGTTAAAAAGAGTATAGTATTAATACTTTCTGTGATATAAAAGGAATTACATATCCTCAGTACAAAGATGCCTACTACAAAATGAAACAATAATAACACCTACAGTGTACTGTCAGGAATTCAGTAACTATATATTGAATATTTATACTGGGGCTTCAGCAATGAGTAAATATATATTGAGTATTTATATTTGGGCTTCAGCAATGAATAACACAGATATCTAGTACCCATTTGTACGGCTGACAGTAGTATGGAAAGACAGAAATAACAAAATTTTTCATTTAAAAGTATAGTATTCAGGGCCTCCCCGGTGGCACAGCGGGTTGAGCACAGCGCTGTGAAGCTGTCTGTAGCCTCTGTAGCATGGGTTCAATTCCCGGCTGGCCAGGGAGTGACCCACATGGAGCAGCAGACCTCTCCTGACTTGCCCGCTGCTCCTCTCAGCAGTGTATTTCAGTACATCTGCCTGATCTGTTCCCCACACTGTCTCTGGTAAATCTTTTCACCGCCGCCCCCAGCTGGGGAGATGAGAGGTCTTCTGTGCCATCTTGGTTAGCTCCCTGGCCAGGGATTGAACTCTTGCTGCACTGGCTGGTGATAGTTTGATAGTGCTGAGA